CGTCCCTGAACATCTGCTGCAGGATCGTGATCAGCATCAGGGAAGAGGCGCCTTTTCAAGATCGATGGGGATGCCACGGCCTTCGGATTGGGTTCCTGGAGCAGGGTTGAGGGAGCCACAAAGACCAGACCCTTTGAAGCATTACCAAATTCCGACCTAGTTTTTGTTTCTTCTCCTTCTTTTCAGGAGGCTTGGGTGCGGAGCCAGCTGAGCGCCCCCCTGGTAGCTCTCTTTTTTCCAGCTGGGGTGAGCTGGCCAGCTGCCTGGGTGAAGAAGTGCTATGAGTTGCAAAGGGGAGCCTAAACAAATCCAGGGGAGCCTAAAGCCTGGCTAGCTTTTTTTGATCATGGCCATGGTGCATTGTATGTAGAAATTCAATATTATACTAATTTCGACAGGGCACTTCCAATTTGGCCCGCAACAAACCCTTCAAGGTTGACATACGCGAATCACCAGACCTCAGTAGAGCAGGTTTAAATTTGGATCAGAAATACTACTACTACTACTACTACTACTACTACTACTACTGCAGAGTGATTTTTCTGTACACAAGCAATGGAAGCCATGGTGCCGAGCTTTGGGGTTGTTCTGGAAGCGTGTTTGCACATACATGCAAAGCCCACGATGATATCCAGCTTCATCTTCAGCCCAGGCCTTGAGAAGAACGATAATTAAATACAAATATTTTTATGCTAGGTGTATGAAATACCACCCCTCACACTTGACAAGGGGCATCATGCTCATCAACAGCCTCAAACTTGTTGAGGCAGTAGTGTTGGCTTGCCCAACGCAATGCAGCCTGAGTGATTGCGCGATTGTGAGATAGGGACGTTGTGAACCATTGGCATGAACACGATTGAGCATCCCAATCTCTCATGCATCCAGGCCTTCACTTCAGCCTGCGTTGGAATAGAACCACCAAATTGCGCCAGAAGGGGAAGCAAGATCTCGAAGTTGTCGTCTTGCTCAATCTCAGGGAGGGACACCCCAAATTGGTATGTACACTTGTGCATGTAAAAGTTGGTTCAGGATTCATGTAACCACTGGCCTCATTTTCTGTAATCTTTCCATTCTTGGGGATGTTTACAAAAGTCCACTTTGGTTCCTGAGCTCTACACCGACCCTAAAAAGCAAAGTCACATGACAGTCATACTGCAACAACTAGTGCAACTGCGGCACGCGTCGATCAGATTTCTTGAGCTGAGCCCTTGTCCTCAAAAGAGCCCTTCGCTCAGCCACATAGTTCTTTTTTGCCAAGATCTCACCATACAAAGCCTAAGTCGAACCAGAAAGTGTATGTCATGCGCATTACATGCATTGCAATGGATGCATGCACAATTGGCCAAAGGAGCCTTCAGAATGCTGATGTTTTGTTGATCACCCTTTGTTTTGGCCATGGCTCTCTCGCAATCTAGAAAAAGGCCAGTGTGAATGTGGTCACGTCATGTCATGTCGATCATGCAATGACCAAACCATTGTTCCTTGAAGTGTCCCCAAGCTTAAGTTGAGCCCAACCACCAAAAAACCAGACACATGGCCAAGACAAACATGAACGACATACACGTGCGCACTCGAGAAAACGAAGCCGAGCGGAGTCCTTCTGAGAGCGAGGGATCGATAAGATAATCTTCATCTTCCAAAAGGGATCCTGAGCTGAAGTTGAGGGGGGACCAATGGCTGACCAGGTAAAGTTTCACAATTGCTATATCTATACTTGGGGTCTGACTTCGTGAGAGGGCTCGCTTTGCCATGAATCCATCATCATTTCCCAGCCTTGGATGGAAGTCTCTAGACTTAAGATCGGTTGGCCTTCAATCGCATGAAACAAACCAGCACTGAGCATAAAGAGGAACAAAACTAATGCTAAACAAATCAAAGGAGCAAAATGTGGAGAAGGTCGCAGTCATCCCATTGAAGACGACGAGATCACGAGTGAAGCTGCTTTAAAGCTTTAGGATGGCTAAGAATGGGTCACATGCTGCAAATATTTATGAATTTATGTTTCATGCACATATATTGACCAATGTGAGGCCTCATCTATGAGCCTCAAAGGCCACAAATACAGGTATCCTAGGATAAAATACACGTTCGCGAACCTGCATTTAAACAATGCACGACGACGATCAGGGTATGATATGATGGTAGCCAGATTTGCAGGTGGAGGTGGAAACTTAAGCGCTGCAAATTGTTTTTTCTCATTGCGGTGACCGTTCCAGGCAGAAATGCCCAATGTAAACCACAAAAATATTCAACTCCTGTAGAATATGTTGTCTTTGTCTGACTGTATTCCTGAAAAGGAATATTCGCGGCAACAAAAATATTTCCGCGGCAAACAGCTGATTTCCGCCCCAGGACGGGAAGAGCCGCTCTTCCCGAAAAAGGCAAGAATTTCTGCCCAAAGGATCTTCTAGGTATAAGGAACCAGGGGAACTCTAGGTCTATGCTTTTAGTCTGTGGTGGAACCACTGACACTCCCCATCGCAACGATTCGTGGTTTACTGCCTCCCTGGATCCCCGCCAAGGTGCGAGTGTCTGCTGTGTCAGACACTCCGTAAGAGTTGGATTTGCTGTTCAGGAACCTGGAAGGGGAGAACCAATCTTCCAACCTTACAGAGTGTATTTTAGATTTTCGAACCTGGCAAAAATGTAAAACATCTTCCCAGTTCCAAGTCATGGAAAATCAATCACCTGATCAGCAAAACCAGATGTCAACCAGGCTCGGTGACACGGCTCGAACCTCTCGCTGTCTGTCGAGTCTCTTTGCGCTGAACGTCCGTCCTCGTAGTGGAAGTCCTCCATGTGATGGCCAAAGGACACATAGAGATGTGCAAAGGACTTCGCCTCGCGCTACGCGATTCAATGGCCAAAGGCCTTGGCCTGGATTCTGTTCGATGGATGATGGATCCGTGTTTTTTCTTTTTAATGAATTCATGAATGGCGGGGTGTGTGGGTGTGTATTTTCGTGGGGAGACCCAACTTACATGGGTATATTAGACTGGTTTCCGGACAATGATCGAACTGAGAGGTCTCCCTATTACAATTACACCGGACCACATCTCTCCCACTGAGAGATGATGTGCCATAGGATGAAGTCTCTGCGTTTGCAGTCAGTGTCAGGGAGCCAGGGGAGCCAGGGTTCCAAGGACCTCTTAGATCCGCGAATGCAGGAACTGACTCCACTCTTGTGCGAAAGGATTTGCAAAAGGAACCGGGACAACAAAAAACACATATCCCCCAGAGGAGGATTCACCCATCGAAAAAATAGACACTCATCAAAAACTTGGCAAAGCCACTGTACCTCTGAGATCCTCTGAGGAGGTCCCAAAGTGCCAGAGTCCAGAGGTATATGGCACTCCCCCAGTCAACAGTCACTGGTGGAGAGCGTTTTGAGGAGCAAACACCGCCCCACATTGGCGTTCTTACATGTTCTTACAGAAAAAAACAGCAAAACTGTGCAACTACTTTGTTCCTGGGACCGTCTACTTTAGTGCCGATGATGCCTCAATCCAAGTGCCAACAAACACGGCGGAAGCAGCTCAAGTTGTCCAATGCCATCCCCTTCATAACATATTGCTTGATTGGGAGTGAAGGATGCCGAGGGTGGAATCAAACACATCTCTACTGACAAACTTTATTAGAAAAGAAAATAACAAAAAAAACAACCACAACAACAACAGCCACAGCCACAACCAAACCAAAACATACAACTGTAAGACAACTGACTTAATGTTATCTTGTAACCTAACAAAAGCTCCCAAACTTGAATCTTATACTATAATTACATCTGTATACAAGTTTTTCAGTGACAGCAAGTCGATCATCGGCCCCCCTGGATGCGCCCCAAGGCCCTCCGACCGTCAGCCACTCCGGCACCGGCCGCTCCTGCACCTCGTTGGGAGCGTACCAGGCTCCCCGTGTCCACCTGAGAAGGGGTGGAGGTGGAAACGACCTGCCGCTGGGCCCGGCTGGGCCGCTTGGGGCCGCTTGGCCGGTGTGGTGGTGGTGCTTTTGGAAGGACGAGAAAGAACGACGGAGGTTCGCCGTTGCGATGGGAAAGAACAGAGTCTATCATATTCATCCTATTATAGGTAATATATAGTCAACAGTCCAACAAGATAGAAACAAAAAGTATTGATGTTCTTGGACATGCAAGCCGTTTCGACATCAAATGGCTGCCACACTCTTTTTCTGTAATTACTTTCGCTAGACCTTTGGGAAAGGCAGTCAAGACCCAGGTTGCCAAACGTCGCAGCGAGTGGCTCATTTTGCACCGTGGCAGCGCCCTCCACGCACCAGTCATGACTGAGACTCATCGCGGCTAATGCCGGTCTTAACGATTCTGCACTTGGTCAACTTTGCTCATCATTGCAAAAATTGCTGTTCGTTGCTTCCGTGGCTGACTCCAATCTCTAAAGGGCAAGCAGTGAGTCTGCAAGAAAAAAGGTGGTTGAACATCACTAGGAACAAGACCTGTGTTGATTTGGATGAAACAATAATCAAGCACTTAATCAATTATAAGTTGAGGGGAAACAGTCATTTTAGTTGAGAAGGTAGGTATGGGATTGCTGAAACATGAAATGCAACCTGAATGTACCATTTGGCAGTGCTATAAGGACAATTGACATTATGGGGTCTTCCAAGCATGTCCCAGCGCAAGTATACTGTCATTTCTTAAGCTATATCAAAACCCCCTGCGCTGGGCGATGCCTCTTTTTTTGAACCCTCACAGCTACCCAACTAATTGAATCAATGAAACATGGCTGGAAACAACCAAAATCCTGCACCGCAGGATTCCAGATCTCCAGATTTTCCTAGGAGGGAAACCCGCCCATTTCACTTGCCCAAAATCTGAACTGGTGCATCCAGAAGAAACACGGGCCTCAAATGTAGATTTATTTGGGTATGCATGGTTCAAAAAAAGGATCCCTAATTTAGATGATGCTAAAATCTAGGTTTAAAAAATCTATCTGGTGAGTTTGTTGTCAGTTCTCATCATCATGCTCCTTCTTTACGCCGTTCCGCAAAGATCGTTAAGTCCACTTAGCCTTGAACTCGGCCTCCTCAAAGAAGTAGCGGCAGCGCCGTTGTTGTTCTACAAGCCGTCCCAGCGCCTCCGAATTAAAGGTATCTTCCTCAGAATAGGAGAAGGTCAAACGCACCTGAGCTGATGATCAAACTTCCAATCTGGCCATCCAACGTAATGGATGAACTCGAAAGGGGGTAGGAGATTGCTACATAAACAGTTTCTTGTAGGACATGATGTATCTATATATAGATGTTGATTAATAAGACGAGTTTCCTTTGTTTTCATTCCCAAACATCATCGCATGAACAATGGTCAGTTTCCTGTCCCGCCAGCCTGGAAGAAAAATACGAACACACCATCTCCCCCCTCCCAGCTGTGGTCCTCTCGCTCCCCCCTCTCTGCTTTCATCGACACTGGGCGACTGAAACGGCTTGCAACATGGGGGTCGCTCGATCCAGAGGACTTCGTTCCAACAAAACCCATTGGGTCTGTGACTCTCTCCAGTGGATGTGCTGAAGGCGAGTTCCACTGGCATTAGGGGTCGCAGGGTGATTCTGAAATTGATAGAATTCTGGCTTGTGACAGAACCTCTCAGCCTACTAGTATTTGTTTCCACATGCAGCGCTCACCTTGTATTTTGGCACTGCCTTGAGAATGTGGAGTGACCTTCCAGCCACTCCATCCGTTTCACGGATCCCAAGCATGTCTTGCATTTTGAACCTTAAAGAACAACCCAAAAGTTCCCCAGACTCATCAATACCTCTATAGATGCTTTAATCCGACCTCTTCGCGACCGGACCTCTTCCAGTGGACCTGGACTCGCCGGACTTCGCTGCGCTCCAGGGCACCATCTCCGTGAGAGCCTCCCGCAGCTCCGCGGTGATCGGGAAGTTCGAGAAGCACAAAATGTCGTCCACCGGATGTCCGAGATATTGGGGCAGGACCTTGGAGGACTCGAAAGCGGAAGGGTGAGCAGCGCCAAAAAGTGGATGTTTTTGTATATGTTTAGTTGTGTTCCATGAATCATGCCAAGAAGGGGCCAAGTACTGGGCCAAGTATGTAGGGCATATCTTCATGAAGATCGAGCCCCGATGTCTTCCAGTCCAACCCCTCCTTTTCCACTTGGCCCACAAACTCTAAGAATTCTGAAGCGTGACACCTCACCTCTCTCCCTTCAAATCTGATGTCCATCATCAATGTCTCAAGAGCAACTCACCCGGTCTCTCTTTCTCTCTTTCTCAAAGACCCGACCAGACCCCTCTGCAGCCGTAGGGACGAACTTCTGCAACTCTTTGGGCACTTGACTCAACGATCCGAACCTCGTGAGGAGCGCAGATTGGACGGGAGCGGAGTTCGGGAGGGGCCGAAAGGGAGCTCCTCAGGAGGTTGGAGGTTTCCATATACAGGTCAGGAACGGATCCTTTTTTTACAGTTGGTTATGTAAGACACTACTCAAGGAGGTAAAGACCAGGTTTTACTGGGCCTTTAGACTTGTAGGGTTTGGAAGAAAAAGTGAAGAAAACGAGGGTTGCCAATTCGGAGTCCAAGCATGATTGAATGTGCTACGACCGGCCATTTGGTTGGTTCGTGTATTCATGATCATTCATGATTGGTGGTCCGGCACGGGGGTTATTATTGCGGTTGTGACCCAAAGCCATGTGCCTATAGATCCAAACCAAGAGACCTTGGTAACACCAGCTACCTGGAAGGTCAAGCTAAATGGTGCTGGGACTCTGAGTTTGGACCCATCCCCATGTCGATTTGCTTGAAGGTGTCGATTTGCTCCGCACAAAAAACACCTGTTCTATCATATAAGCATTAAACATGTCAAGAGCGGGTCTTCACCGGTCCAAAGACCTGCTAAGTAGGTCCCCTGACCCGATGGATTGGATGTGGAAGCTCAATGTCAATGCGGGTTGCATGGGTCATCGGTCGTCGCTGTACGGATGTCATGGTTCTGCCGCTGCCAGCGAAATCGCAATCCAACAGCGAAAAACACCTAGTCAAACACTATCTAAAACACAAACACCAAACATCCCCCCCACATCCTCCTGTGCCAAGATGTTTCCAGCACTCATTGACTCATACATCCCAGGTGTCGTCCTGACAAGGAACTGCAGCACCTTGTACGGATACTTCTGCAAATCCTGATTGAAAAGCACGTGACAAGGACGAAGCAGCGCTGATTTTTGGTTTCACTCAAATCAAAAACACACCGGTCAGCGTGGGCGCCCAGATTTCTTGATGACGCGGGTGCATGATCGGAAGAAGCCGTGTTTCAATCCATAGAATCACTACTGAAACAGTCAGGGGTGCGGGAAAAAACAGCAGGCTCGAAAAAGTCTGGACTGGTTGATTGAAGGATTGGATATAGGATGGTAGGTTGCATCCCATCACGCTAGTACTGGATAACGATGTTGCTTAGAACCCACCTGTATTCATCAGAAACAGTTCTGAACAGAGAACACTAAGATTGTGAACAACAACAGACCCTCCTTAACAAAGTAGCTCAGACTTCATCAAGAAGCTGCCTCATGCTGCCTCTAATCGTCCAACTCTCGCACGCACGACCTCTCGTCCGAGCTCGGGTCCTCCTCAGGCATGTAGTGCTTGGTGCTGACTGGCGAGTACATCAAGGGGTCCATATAGCCCGCGTCCCTTTGGTCGGGGCGTCCCGTCATCGTCCACCAACGGGGCATGTCCTGACGGCCGACGAGGTAGAGCGCGTTTGGTAACGAGCGAGCGAGCGAGCGAGGTGATGAAACACCGGCCCGGTGGGCTGTGGTGGTGGCACGGCTGCACCAACCGTTTTGTGAAACTACTAGGTGATGATTGGGGAGATACTTACTATAACAGACTATAACTTGTTTTCATACGCCGACAAGCTCAAACAGTTCAATATCTTGTTAAAGTGGGCATCTATATTTGGAGCAATTTGTTGTCCAAAAATGTCCAATACATATGGTTCATTTCCGGTGTCGTCTGGGGAAGGCACATCCTATATTCTCGATCTAGTAGCAAACGAAGCACCACTGCACAGCCGGCTTTTATGAGCCGAGGTACTTGGCTGAAGAGGTTTCGCGGGACCAGGAACATGGGACAACAAGACCAAGGTAGGACTTCGCCGTACCACACATCCAGCATGACCAAGGACACCATGATGGAAATCATCGTGTACCTGGCGAACAGCGGCTTCGATCCTGGAATAGTACAACTGAGGCTGTTCAAAGGATATATATATATATAGTTCAGAGCTCTTCTATTCACGATTCATCTCAAGGACTTCTTGTGAAATCCATTGATCAATGCAAAAGTATGGCCTGTTGTGAAATCCATGATCACGCTTCATGTCGTGAAATCATGCATGAAGGAACACTGAGTAGGTTTGTTCACTGAGTAGGAGAAGTCCGGCGCACAAGTAGGCCACCAGAAAGCCTGAGAATTCCAAGTGGATCAACGCCTTGGACGGTCGGACGTCACGGCGTTGGTCGAGGCTCCGGTCCGGTTGGACGCTGGCTGAACTGGAGTCCAGTTCACATGACCTGGATTGGCTGATTGGAGATGGCGAAAAAAAACTAAACTACCCTCTGACGAACACACCACATGGAAGTGGACAATTTTGGGGCCCTGGAAGACTAGTGTCCTCTACAAACAGGCGGTTTTCCACTTCCATGTTAGTGCGTCAAAGGGTAGTCCCTATACAAGGGGATTTACCCATTAGGGAAAATCTAAACATCACCTTAAGCGCAAACCAGGATGAAGAGGGACCAAAACTGGACTCGTCTAGATAGAACGTCCCGCTTTTTAAATCTTTGTGGTCTTCCAGTTTTCTCCAACAAACGTGTGGTTCTTCCCCCAAACGACGGACGGACTGAAAACACCGAACGGATGGATGGGTGAACTGGGTCAACGAGAAGAACGGTCACTGAACTAAAGGGCGAAGACGGTCACCGGCTGGTGAACATGCTTCTGATCTTGCATCTGATTGGAGGCTATCCATCTCATATGATTTTGTGCACTGATGCCATCTAGTTCAGCACCAAAACTGCTACCCGCGGTTACGGTCGTTCGCCACAGGTCGCCACAGGTCGTCACCCCGTCCCTGTTTCAGGCGGCCCAGGCGCATCAAAGCCACCCTCTAGCGACATCATGGTGCTTTGAATCCTCAGCGCAGCGTTCCGCGCTGCGAGTGGCGAGTTTGATGGGGCCCCTAGATGCAGGTCATGGACGCCAAAAAGAGGGTGGTAGCTTCAGAGCTGTCGAGGTTTAGTTGTACTCCAAAAGGACGTACCATGACCTACCTCCTGTAAACACAGGAAAACAATGACAAACCTGGAATATCCTGGAATTCAGTGAAGTGCTCCGTATATGGAGAACAAAGAATCAAGATCCAATATTCATGGCATGCATCTATGTAGTGCACCTAACTTGCCCCAGAATTTCTAGTTCCCCTTGTTCTGGCGGGATTTCTGACCCTGGGCACGGATCGATACATGTTGAAGCGGCGGCCTGCCACTACCTTCACTCAAACAATCATGGAAGCTGTATGTGAATGGTATAGAGTCTAAAGGAAAATGACGGCGAGGAATGGTCTACAGGGGGCATGTTCTACTCATGATTGACTGAGAAAGCAAAACATGCAAAGTAATGTCCAACGTCTCTGGAGAAAAAGACGGTCCAGCTAGCTGAAGTCCAGGCCCAGGCACGACGCGTCCTTGTGAAGTGCAAAGAGGAAATAGACCGGACACCACTGAGACAAGAAGTCGAAACCTTCCAGCTCCGGACGTGTTGGTGTTTTTCGTTATTTTGTTGTTGTAGAAACCAGAAGCAAACGAAGTCTTCCAGCAAATCGAAAACCAACGAACGAATCGAAGGCGAAGAGGCGATCGTCGATCGCGCACCGAGCCAGGCTTTTGGCTTTCTCGAGCCCGCCCTTCTGTCGGACGGTGGTTTGGTCTCCTGACCTACAAAAAGCTGATGTACGGCGTACATCTTCACACAGAGGGGGAATGATGTTGATCAAACGCCCTCAGCCAGTGGTGCACGTCCATTTCGATGCACCACCCTTGGGGATACAGCATCCTCTTCGGAGGTGGAGCTACTCCGGCGCAGTATGGACAGCATCGGAGCACGAGCAAGTTCTGCTCTGCAATTTGCTCCCGAAGGTGGCATGTCTCTCGGTGCCAACATTCTCCTCTTTTCGAGGCGAAAATCAACTGAGTGAACGGGCAGCGAGCAGCATGGTCGCTCATCTCTTCTTCTAAATTTTGAAAAAGGTCTCTGGCTGCCATACACAAATTGCGCAGGGCATCCAACTCACTCTCCTGCATCGCCATGGCGGCGCGAGCTTCTTGCGCTGCCTTTCTTGACTCTTCCACTTGCTGATAGGCCTGACTGTGTTCGGCCCGCAGCTTGGTGTTCATTTCTCTCAGACGCTGAGGGACCAGCGCTTCATCTTTCTGGGTGGAGGCGTCTTGTAGTACTGGTTGGGGTTGACTCTTGGTGTAGCGACCCAACATGAACATACCCAGGAGTGCCGTGACATGGATGGTGCCCAAAACCAAAATCCAGAACCACAAACTTTCATACTCTTCGGGTGCACTTGATGTTGAACAAGTGTTGGAATCGGCCGTTGCAGCTGTCATCATCAACCACCAGACCAACCATTTGAGGGTGTACTTCATGCGACCCGTGGACAAGGTGTTTGTGCGGCTCACGACATGGCTGGCTAGGAACACATACGTTGGAGCTTCAGTGTTCTGTGCAAAATGGACATACTCACAAAGCTCCACATTCTTATGATCGCCATTGTCCTCAAGAGTGTCGAAGAACTCCTGAGTGTCCTTGGTGTCAGGGGGCAACTCATACTCTGGCATGTCTTCATTCTGTGGGATCTCTTCATTGTTTGTGGAGTGCTCAGGCTTGAAGGAATCTGTGGACTCTGCAATGGCCTTCTCGCGCTCCATCTTGGTCTTGCGTTTGGCCGCAGTGTACGACGGGTCCCAAGTCAACTTGATCCTTCCGTGTCGAAGTCGAGCAGCAAGGAGTGCGCGAGCACTTTCTTTCGTGAACCCGTCACCGAGCTGTCTCTCTGAGGAGACCCATCGAAGTGAACCACCGATGTCCTGCATCCTCTCTTTCATCACTCTAACTTCGAGGCTGATGCGCTTGTCGATGACCGATGAGCTGATGCCTTCACGATGGTAGGAGTCATAGAGAGCTTTTGCATCAGTGATCAGCTGTGGCGCCAGCTGAGATCGAACCTTCAAGAGTTCTTGAAGAGGAAGTGCTGGATGAAGTAGATGCTCCCAAAAACGGCGTGCGAACTCAGTGGCATCTGCAGCTTGGCCTCCGGCCTGAGCCTCGGCTCCAAGGGAACTTCTGGCCACCCTCGGTGTGCGGAAGCTGCGCCAATCAAGCACATGATACTGACCCTCCTCTGAGGAGTTGAGCAGTGACTTGTTCACCAACCTGATCATGTAGCCGCCCTGGGAGTTTCCATCCGGCCTCGAACCAAAACCTGCATCGAAGAAGGTGATCATCTGTAGTTGCTGTGGCTCACCAATGTGGTTGTAGGTGAGTCCGACGTCCTTGTTTTCCTTGCAGAACTTCAAGAGGCGGTTGCACTCGTGAACTGTATGCACTGTTGCCTTGTTGATCTGGCTGGACAGCATGGAGGTGGAACACTGCAAGTGAGGTGAAGTCTGCACAGCCGGCCATTGAACTGAGCCCAGTAGACCGCGGACCTGGGTGATCTCCCTCTCGTTGAGTGCTTCAGTCGGTGCTCTGCCCTTCTTGATGGAGATGGGGCTGACCTTCCCCATATATGCTTCTTGATGAAGTCGGCGGCCACCCTCCTCGGTCTTTGTGAGTTCACATCCACAGTACTCGAGCTGGTCGAGATCTTGCTTCCACTCTCGAAATGAGAAGGTCTCTTTGAGGGTGTGAACCACTTCTTGATATCGCGGGGAGTTCAAACAACCGCTGCCCAACATGTCATCCACGTGCATGATGATCATTCCCACAAGGCGTTCATCGCCTAGGCTTTGAACTGTTTGGTGCACTGGATCTTGGGCATCATAGTTTGTGCTGTCAGTTTCGAATGCCAGGAAGCAACAGGGGTCAAGAGGATGTTGACGGAGTCCAGCACGTAGCAACCTGTCAACTGCTTCCAGAAACCAACCGCGAGGTGCGTCGATCTGTCCATAGCAGGGTTTGAGCAACAACATCCTTGTGTCCTCATCTCCTCCAAGCAGCTGAAGACATTCGGCCGGCAGTTTGACCCACAATTTTCGATTTTGTGGTCTCCCTTGAAGGAAGGCAGTGGAGACGTCGGCCGTCCATGTCGACCATCCCATGTTGGCTGCCAAGGACAGGATGTAGCTTCGGCTCAACCTGGTGGTCGTTGGAGAGGAGGTGACGATCTGGCCGGCCAGGGCGTCGGGATCATTGTAGCCCCTCACGATCAAGCGGGCCTTCGCCCTCGGTGAGCCATCCGGATTCTTGGACCATTTCAGAATCATCCTCGCCGTCAGGGTGCGAGACTCATCGGCATCCTTCTTGTGCTGAAAGGTCCAGACGCCGTGGTCGAAGAAGGACTTGAGTTCCTTGACCTTGGCCTCCTTGAAAAGTGCCCTTTCGTGGGGTCCCAAGGCGCGTTCATTGACTCCATTCTTGTCTTTCTTGAACTTCTTTGCCTTGATCATCTTTTGGTTCTTTGCTTCCTGTTTGATGCTGGTGTGGATGTTGTGCTGTCCCGAGTACATGGCCATCTCTTTCCTCAGGGAGCCATCGATCTGGAAGATCGTGCAGCCAGTCCATGAGGATTTGATGCCTGAAGGTGGTGAGGTCTCTGTGCCATCATCAGTGAAGAGGCGGCTCTTGCCGTCTGTCACGTGGACAAGGGTCACCTTGACTTTGTCAAGACGATCAGCTGGGACTGGGCAGTCTTTTGGCAGGTGCTCCAGGTGTAGTCTCCCACGTCGAGGCACAAGGTGGTGTCTGATTAGACATCCAGCTTTGATCTCCCAGAAGTCTGACGGTGTCTCGCTGAGAGTCATGTAGCCGTGCTCGTCGACCTTCCAACCAGAGGGCAATTGGCTTGCATCTAGATCTTCAACAGCAAAGCCATGCTCTGAGTCCTGGCAGGTCATGCTTGCTGACTCTGCTGGTGTGGTGTTTGGTGGTGGTGCTGCTATGTAGGGCTCTGGCAGAGGCGGTCTGCTTGCCCTCCACGGTGCAAAGCTCAAAGTTTCTTGCTGGTTGAACCGGCGTCTTCGTTGTTCGAAGGTCTCCGGTCCTGCTGTTTCGTACAGTGACGCTGTTGCCGGATCTAGCATTGGTGCCTGTGCCGTGTTGTTCGGTAGTACTCCATGAGGTGGTGCCCCGTGTGGTGTGGGTGCTGCTGAGAGTGCTGGTGGTTCTTCACTCGGTTCTGACAGTGAGAGTTCGCTCTGAGGAACTGGGATCTCTGCCGATGTTGGTTCGCCTGTTTCGGGATCTGCCGTTGGGCCATTGTCTGGTGCCGGTGGAGGTGCCGCTGGTTGCCCCGGTCCTCAGTCTGGAGGTGGGCTGTCGGCGGATGCCTCTGGTAGTGGTTCTGGTGGTGCCATAGACAGTCGTGGTCGCTGTCTGGGCGGCGCCATCTCATGGTCAGAGTCTGAGGGCAGGTTTTCTGACTCACCATGTTCATCCTCCTCCACATCCATGAGATTCCTCCGATTCAGCTGGTGCAGATCGTAGTATCTTGTCACACCCCGGGACTTCAGTTGTCTCACCTTGTTGAGTGCTTCTTGGGTGTCCTCCAAGGAGTGTGCCACGGCCTTGATGTCCGGCCTGATGTGATGTGGTGCACAGCGAATAAGTTGGCTCTTGAATGCCAGCCAGTAGACGGAGACTTGACTGTGTGCCTCCTGCGGGTTCTTGTACTCTTTCATCACGATGTGGGCTGGTCCGAGCCATCTAACCTTCACCAGGTCAGGTTGACGGGCATCCCTCCAGAAGAAGACCTGTTGGCCAAGGTGGAATTCGGTGTTGATGCCCTTGTACTTGAGGCTCAAAGCGCGACGCAGTTTGCGGTCTGCATCTGCGTCCAGTAGCGCCTTCTTGGCTGCATGGCGCTTGGTCAGGGTCTCTTCGAAGTTGGGATGACCTCCAAGATGAACTGCCTCAAGGTGATCCGATAACAGATCACCGGCCATACGTGGTTGGTGTCCAAGGACCCACTGAGCTGGACTGAAGCCTGCCACTGTTGGTGCAGCGTTGATCTGGGGCACGATGTAAGTCAAGGCTTCCCGGATTCCGCTGACGTTGTCAATCTTAAGGTCGTCCATGTAGATCTCAGTGGCTCGTCGGATCATGGCGTGGCGACGCTCTACCACAGCAAGTCGTTCATGAGCCTCGCCTGGTGCCACAATGTGCTGGATGGCGTGTGAGCTAGTCCAGTCATCCATGGTTCGCCCAAGCCAGGGTCGTCCCTCATCTGTGATGAGCTTGGTCGGAGGTCCAAAGTGTGCGATCCAAGATCGCTCAAATGCCTTGATGTACTCTTCGGTCTGCTCCGAACGGAGTAGAGTAGCTGAGGTGTAGCGTGTAGCCATGTCCACAATGCTCATCACTGGAAACTTGGCGCTGCCACGACGAATCCAGAAGACGTCTGCTTGCACTGTGTCGTTGAACGTGGACGACTGTGGCATCGAAGCTGGTGCTGCTTGTGCTGGCTTCTTGTATTTGGTGCAGGCTAGACATGTATATCCACGAGCAGCTTCAAGAAGAGCTTCGGAGGCGCCACGAGCTGCCAGAAGTTCGGTGAGGGCTTCCTTCGAAGGGTGTCCAAGGTTCCGATGGAGCTTCTGCACAGTGCGGATGGCTTCCTGGCGAGTGCTCGCCTGCAAGCGGACCAGGGATCCAGTCACCTCCTTCTCTTCAGTAGTGGCATAGACATTCTCCCAGGATTGAGGTGTTTCCGGTAGGCTCAAGGCTGCGGCCAGTGTTGCTGCCAAACCCGGTTGGTAGTCCTCCATGTAGCGGGCGCGAACCCCATAGCCGGCTGCTGAACCCTCGAGATGGCAGTGCTGGTGGTCATGCTTGCACTGCAATGACATGGCTTCTTGAACAGCCTTCTTGGTCGTTAGCAGCCGGGTGTTCTTCAGCACGGATCTCCATTGGCCATCTGTGTCCAAACACTGAGCTCCATAGCGACATTGTGAGAAGTCTGTGATGCGGCCAGGGAGTGTTCGCAATGCCTGAGTTTTCCAGGACAGGGCATCTTTGGGCTGTTCGATGGTGGCGTGTCTTCCGCCGGAGAGCTGTTTGAGGTATGCCTTCTTGACGAAGATGAGGTGCCGATCATGATGTCGCTGTCTAGCAGCGACCAGGGCATCCTGTTGTGCCGGCGTTCTCCGGCCAAGGGACTGCATACGAGACCAGAGCTTGCACTCAGGAGCAATGAGCAGCTCGTCGGGCATCTCTTCATCAAGCAGCTCCAGGAAGGCCTCCTGGTGTTTCAGCTGGTCGAAGTTCCACCCATTGTCGTAGGAGAAGGTGCGAACTTCCATGCCAAGTGACTGCGCCACCTCTGAGGTTCGAGCCTTTCCACAGTATAGCTCCCACAGGACTCTGGGTCGTTCAGGTCGGTGAAGCTCTCGGGTGATGTAGGCTGACAGTTCGTTGAGCTGTGTGGATAGAGTCACGTCCATGGTCTTCAAATCATGTCTCTTGAGGCTTTTGGTGTCGCAAGCCTCTGTTGTCGATCTCGTCGGATCGGAACTGTTGAAGACCTTCTCCTCAAGCGTGAAGTCCTTGAGGTTGTAGCCGTCTTGCTGGTGGACGTCAGGGTCATTCGTTCGCAGCTCAAACTCTGGTTTGTTGGGGTCGTAGTGCATGAGATCATGCTCGCCAGTCAAGGACCACAGATATTCACCTTGTCGACCCAGCACTGCAGGCTGCCAAGGTGACGAGCCAATCTTGAGTCGCCTGTTGGCGAAATCCATGGACATGCCCAAGGCCTCAATGATAGGCCTGCCGCACAACATAGGAGTGTTGCCAGGCAAGAGGAAGATCTCGATGGTGCCGTAACGCCCATCCACAAACACGGGAATGTGAGCGCTCCATTCTGACCATAGTGAGGCATCCCCTCCAAACTGAAACTTGCGCCTGCCCTTTGTCATCTTGATGACCTCGACTGGGAAGTTGATGTCCTTGTAGTGGTCAACCAGTCGTCGAAAAGGGCCGTAGCCAGAGAGAAAAGCGCTGGCGCCAGGATCGAGCATCGTGCAGTCGGGTCTTTCTTGGCCGCTGCTGTCTTGGAAGATGAGAAGTGCCGTCTCCTGTGGCGATGTCAGCGAGGCCATACCTTCAGTTGCAGATGCTGGGCGTTTGAGGCTTGACCTCGAAGGTGATGACGATCCTTGTGGACAATTTGCCGCCCAATGGCCAGGTTGGCCGCATCGTAAGCAGTTGAGGTTGGCCTTGGCCCTTCCCTTTGGGTCAAACTTTCCTCCTCCTTGTGGGGGATACTTGATTGTCGTCGAGGACTTGCCTGATTTGGTGCCACCCCCTTTTCATTTTCCCTTGCTCCTCCAGCCTGATGGACTTGTAGTCGGAGAAGTGGATGAAGCCGGACCCTGCTGCTGATGGCCATCTGTCAGTGCCACGATGGGGAGGTAGCCTCTGGACATCCTGAGTTCCTGAAAGCGCTTTCTTGCGTCCGTGTAGGAAGCGAAAGCTTGATCATATTGATCTGCCAGGCTCTGAGGATCACCGACTTCGCCACTGGGATCATCTTCAACCCAAGGTTCCTCACCAAAGTAGCCAGCGTCCTGGTCGAAGTCGTACGGCTCCTCATAGGCGTAGTCATACTGAGTGGTGTCCTCTTGCCATGACTCTTCTCCCTCGTAGTAACCATAGTCCCAGGTTTCACCATCATCATCCTCTGGGACGTAGTCATCAGCGGCGTATGCCTTATTTGAGCGCCAGGAGGATTGGAATCGCCGGTTGCGATCGTTGTTCCAGCCACCTCCTTTGTAGTCCTGTCCAAGGACCAAGTAGAGCGCTTCGATCACGTCGTTCTTCTCCATGCCGGGTGCTTTGAGCGTGATCATCTGCCGCTGTTCCCTTGTCAAGGCAGCTCTGCGAAGTAGATGCCACCCTTGGACTGAGGGTGGAAGCTCAACTTTATGTTGCAGGAGTTTGCGATATGCTTCTTCATGGTCATTGACGTACATGAGGAGCGTCTGACCTGGTGGCCTCTGCAACAAGTTGAAGTATCCCTCGAAGTCTGTGGGGAGTTGAACTCTGGCATCATAGGCAAAGTTCCGGTCGAGGACCTCTATGATCTTCGTGAATGCTTCGGCCTTCTCGAGGTCCTCCAGCGCCCAGTCCTGAAAAAGTCTCCAGGTAAGGCCTGTGAAGCTGCCCACGATGTTGAGAACACTTTCGTTTCCCCTTTTGGTGATGGACATCTTTCGATGATACAAATGTATCCGCTGCCTCCATTCCTTGTAGTCACTCGGCTGTCCGCTGAAGATGGGAACGTAGGAGTCCCTGAGGTCAGCATAGCCGGAAGATGAACTGCCTCCCGTCGAGCCGGATGCCTGCGTCTGTTGTTGTTGTTTCCCTTTCACCATGGTGTCAAGAAGCTCCTCAAGGGTCTGCTGGTTCGCCGGGGTGATGTGGTAGCGGATGAGAACTGCAACCAGACAAAGACCTAGACAGGAAAATAGAGCTCTTGGAACCGTTCGTGACGTAGGGCTTCTTCCGAACCGTCGGGGAGCCGTCGCGAAGTGCGCAGGGTAGGGAGCCAGGCGTGAGCCAGGCTCCGCTACCAATGTAGAAACCAGAAGCAAACGAAGTCTTCCAGCAAATCGAAAACCAACGAACGAATCGAAGGCGAAGAGGCGATCGTCGATCGCGCACCGAGCCAGGCTTTTGGCTTTCTCGAGCCCGCCCTTCTGTCGGACGGTGGTTTGGTCTCCTGACCTACAAAAAAGCTGATGTACGGCGTACATCTTCACAGTTGTTGTTGATGTGTCGTTGTGCCTAAAGTCAAGCAGATTGGTTTGGAAAGTCACAAGAAGCACCTGCATGAGATGGATCGACATTTACCAGCATGGGGAAGGTTCAGGTCCATCCCAAAGTCACATGTCACCTCTAGACTTCTCAAGAATATGATGATCATGAATCTCCCTATGAAAGCAGCAAAGCAAGCATCATCGCTAGGAATCTCCCTTCTGCTGCACAGCTCGTACAAGTCTCCTGTGTGGCTGGAAGCGTTTGTGCGAACAGCCATTGATCCCCTGAACCAATCCACACAGTTTTGCTTTCCAGCATTTGCCAACTATGGCAGTTGAGGTCATGTTGCTTTGCACCACATCTGCTTTGGACAAAAATACAAACATGTCAAACAAAAACGATAACAAAGTGATTAAAACATATTAAAACACAAAACACATCAAGACACAGACACACACACAACACATAGTAATTATACAATGTTATATGTCAAATAGGTCGGACCTGGGGATTCACCACCAAAAAACACATACAACCCCTTTGTGTTCTGCAAACAACTATTAAAACTCCTATAAACTCCACACACCCAACACAAGAAGCGGTGTCGGTGTGAGTCTTAAGCGGTCTGCACACACACACACATCGCCGGCCTTGCAAAAAGTAGATTCCTGTGTGAAACGAAAGGCCCAAGGCGGTGAAGAAGAGCCCGGCGCTATACGAGGTCAGGGCAAAAGGAAAAGCGACCTCAAAGAAGAGAGCTCCCACAGCCTCAGTGGAGTTTGATGGGATCCTGGGAATGGTGTTCATTACAAAGAAGAATCCGATGAAAATCCGACCAACCGCGCAAATAGTGTTCATCTTCGCATGGGTGGGCTAGAACAGAATGATAATGACCGCAAAGCACTTTGGGAGACACACTGCTCGGAATTTCGAGTGCCTTCCAAGCATGGAATTCCAGGACAAACAGTGGAGAAATAATCATGCTGTTTGGCAAAGTGTAGGGACCTCAATTCATCCAAGCAATCTTCAGCCCAGCTCAGCAGCTCAGCATGAAGGCCTCAAAAGCTTAGATAAGAACATCAGGTTCAGAACTGCTCACCTAAACTACCCTGGCTGTAGTTCCCCCAAAGGTAATGAACAAATGGTATTGAACTTCACGCGGACAGCTGTCCTGTCGCTGTCCGTCCGTCCGTCCTCGATTCGTCCGCCGAGCGTCTGCCGGGATCAACAATCGAGGGGATCGGACCGCAAAGGCTTGCAACGCCCAGGTGATCTCACCGCCTGGCCGCTCGTCCGCTCGGTGTGCGGACCTCCGGACTCCGGGACGAGCCACTGCGGAGTCCGGTTCGGAGTCACCCCAAGTCCCACGCGGAGTCCGGTTTCCACCCAAAATGCTGTGAAAGGGGAGGTGCGGGAACAGGGAGGTGTGTGCAAAGGGGGATGCCAGGGAAGGTGGATTGGACATCTTGAGCCATGGAGCTACCTGGATCGGATAGATTCTCTGAGGAACTATACTGGAAGTACATGCCGCACATGGACTTGGAAGTACAGACTTTAGAGTCCTGAGGCCACCCTATGTGCGAGTATGTACCAAATGTCTGATATACTGGTATGGAATATATCACTCAAAATGTGGCAGACTTTTTGAACCACTTTGGCGACACCATTCTTGGGATTTCAGGCTGTGCAACAGGTCATTCATCGTCACCGTTGCTTTTTCAGCCTTTTCCGCAGCGCTTGGCTGTGACTTCATGGATGGAAGACAACATCCAAACACTTCAAGGAACGATTTAAGGCACATCTTGATCGACAAACATTGGATGTTTGAGGAAACAAATGTAAAAGGCACACCAAAAGAAGAAACTCTTGGCTCAAATCCCAAGAGGGCTCTTCTTGCACAAGAACCTCCCAGTTGAGAAGGACTGTGCCTCGCGTCCGGTTCGAGCGTATACCTCGCGTCCGGTTCGAGCGTATACCATGGATACACCAAACCCTTTTTCAACCAAACCGCCTGCCTGGACGAGACCACATGGAATCGAAGGTGTAGGCTTGCAGGGTAGTCCCACTCCAAATGCGACCTCGTAGACTTTGCGGAGGACCAACCGGCAGGGTCGGGCGAGTGTGGGTGGCGACTATGTGTAGCTCCAGTAAGGGAGACCTCCCAAACCATCCCCTGGAAGAAGGACAAATAGATGGAAATGGATCAGTCTATCCATTGGTTGGGAGTCTCCCTATTAAAATACACACCCATCTCTGTCCGATTGGTAAGATTGACCATGGGTTCGGAAAAAAACCCCACACAAAATTACACAGCACCAGCATGAGTCTTCTCAGAAACCGTCCAAAACAATGTCGGGTTGCTTCGTCAAGAAAATCGGCAGGTCCAGGCAAACCCACCAGTGGTATAGCATGGGGAGCCGCTAAACACGACTAGCTCTGCCAAAAATCAACCACCAGTCACTGCACAGCATAGCACGACATCCAGTGGGCTACATGTTTGGAATGTACATCGGAAGAGCAGTGTTGAAGGCTTTAAAACTGAATCCGGTGCTGAGAATATCTGCTTATTGGCTCCAGAGTGGCATGGATTCCCTTTCACAAATACACAGTCTTATAGCTAGATTGTGTGTGCGATTCCACGATTCCTTAATTTAATTCCTCCAATGCAGAAGCTCTCAGGCAGTTCAGAACAGGCCAACGCGCCAACGGATCAACTGCTTTCGCGCCAAGGCTCGAAAAGCGAAGGCCCCGCCCAACTTGCACAGTCCGGAGCCACAATACCTGCCGCCGCGTTACGCGCCGCGCCGCGCCGGCACAGTGCGCGTGCACGAGAGCTCAATGAGGGAGTCAGGAGGATCTTTGTTGGATCTTCTACACATTTTCACTACCAGCACCCGAAACCGTTTCAGGTGTCAATAGGCTCCAAAACGAGGTGATAGAAGGGGTGTCCACAAAGCACCTGTGTTGGTTCAGGTCCCAAACTATACTATAAACATCACTCACCCTGTATTTGTTCACCCCAACTGTCTCCTTCTCACCGAGAAACCTCCGTCTCCGAGTGGCTGCCGATCGGTCCGTCGGGTCAGGATGGGAGAGATGTGACAGTGTGGTTCATGATGGTTCATGTGATAACTACCTCCCAACAGAAATACCTCTCTCCGGATCCAGGCAAAGCACTGTAACTTTAACTGGTAACCAGTGATTCCAGTTTGATTAAAACATATTAAAACATACAAGAACCATATAGATCCTATTTCTTTATATCTTTTGTAAATCCACTGGGTCTGGCAATAGGCGACCGAATCATTGGATGAATTGCATGAATGAGAAAACTGGGGACATGCAGGTGAAACGTCATGTGGATGGCACCATCTGTTTGGTACGAAGGAAACTGGTCATCCAATTACACTCCGACTCACCTGGAAGTGGATGGCATGGGCGAAGACCATGTTCCGAATCCCAAACAGGGGGTGAGCTCCACTTCCATGTTAGTGAAATGGAGTCTACCCATTTACATCCATCTACCCCTTATGATTATGTTCAGGGTGTGAAAATAGTGGTAGCATCAACATCGCATTTTACGCCCGATGAATCAGCACCGGAATGAATTGTGGTCAAGGTGCATCGCAGCAATCTGCAGCTTGATGAATTCAACGGGCCACACGAGGTCCTCATCAAACTCACAACTGGACTTGTTCGGCCTTCGTTTGTTTTTGGATGGAAACTGCTTGGAGTTCTACAAAGAAAGGTTCAAGGACTTTCAATCAATTTCTGCTTCGAAAGATCATCCATTCCCAATTTCTTGTTCGCTACCCTCAGATTAAAGAGCTTAACCGGGAACACCACGTTCACCTGTTGAACACGGAACCAGTCACACCTAGAGTCGGGCCTGTCGGCCTCGCCGAGTCGCATGGCCCTCACGGGTGGCTTCGTTCAATGGGCTCAAGGCCAACATCAGCAAGGTGCCTGGCACCTGCAGGTCGGCGGAATCGCGGAGATCACGGGATCGCAACAATCCACGAAGACGAACGTCAACTGTGAGGTTGCAGGACCCGAAGAAAAAGCATTGGGAGATATTGGGAGACGTTCACATCTCCTGATGGACCTTGATCTTTGGGATGGAAATCATCAACCAAAAGGCCTTGATTCACCCTCCAGCGCCGCTCAAGAGCCTAGGGGAGAATCTTTAAGTACTAAACCCCAGCCCGCCTTATTATGAGGAAGTGTTACAATCCTAATAGGGGGGATATAAGGGGGTTATAAATCTAAGCTTTGTAGGGCTTGTTGGTCTCCTTAATGTGTTTCTACAATTCAAACATGGGGGGGTTAGTTCATGCAAGTTTTAATGTAGACTCTTGATTAATAAACCCCCCTTGTGAAGACATCTGTCAATTCAATTGGGGGGGGTTTACGAATCAAGAGTCTACATAAATCAAATTTGTTCTCTACAGAATCTTCAGATCGAGGCACCAAGGTGGTTCCGTGCCCACCGGCTTTGGTGGCACAGAAGAGCTGGGAGTAGTAGAAGAACCACCCTGAGGAGCGCAGACCAGCCGTGCACCACGGTGGCATGGTGGCGTGCTGTTGTTTCAGCTTTCAGTGGCTTGAGATCATCTGGTTGAGGGCCGGCCAAGACCATTATATACAAATATCTTTGATCATCTTTGGATGTCTTTGGTATCAGGAATGGATGGAACAAATGAAGACCAAATTGGTACTGGACAAGACATCATTTGCAGGTGTTACTGGTGTTACCGATAAAACACATATGTTTTCTATGCTTATACCCTGCTGGAGTATTGTGATCATCAGGATGAACGCAAAGCTACAAAGACACAAACAATGGCATGGATGATGTTCAGTCCAACGTATTCCACCCCCAAAATTTAATACATATCATTGACATTAAAACCTCCCTCTCCACCCAGAACCACAGCTCACCAGACTTGCTCCCAACGCTGTCACCTCCGCCCCATGTCACCTCCACATCTGGGAAGTCGACCCCTTCGAACCAAGAGGCCGAAGTATGCGACGAAGAGGAAGAAGCGGGGGGCCCAAGGGCCACAGGAGATGAACAAGCTCATGATGGTCACCAAAGCTGTCCGCGGGTTACCCGCGCGTGGAAATTGGGGAATTGGTGGAGCAGGAGTCGCGGACTGTGCCACAGGTTGTTGTTCCGGGGGCAGGCAAGTTCACAGATTGATGAGACAGGACTTTGGATTGACGATTTTAATCTGTAGACGGTCGATTGTGGATGATAAACAAAGCGAATGGCGATCTCAATCTTTTTTCATCTCACGCAGCACCATGTGCGTACCACTCACGGACAGCTGAACTACCCAATCTGGTGATTCTGGTCTGGGAGTGATCATGACCACGCTAACCCTTACCGTAAGAACCCCTGGTGTTGCCACACTGTTTGGGGAAAAAAATGGATGGAACCCTTGCCAGTCTATAAGTGAAGAGCGAAACCCCTCCCCAAGCACCTCCCCGGTACCTCCTGCGCACCTGCCATCTCGTGCTGTTTGGGCGTCAAGAAGGGCGCAGAGATCAAGCCATAGAACTTCTTCCCCGCATGGCCCAGGCCCCGCTTCTTGGAGGGTTCGATTCCTCGGTGGAACCGGTTGGTTTGAGGGGTTGGTGAAGTTCTGGGCGGTCGGAGAGACCAAGTGATCTTTGAAGCTACCAGTTCCGAGACATATGTCTATCAATAGCATCTTAGAGGTTATATAAGGGGTTTGGCCAAAACCACCGAGCTTGGAAGGTCCTGGTATACTTAGTCAGCTTCAATAAGCTCAAATATCCAATATTAGGACCAACATGGACCTTCTGGTCTTGTTCTCGCCAAACATCTGCGACTCACGGTTCCAAAGGAGGTCATGACTGGCCCAAGAAACGGGAAGGAAACGGTCTCACCATGGAAACGATATGAAACGATCATGAAACGACCTTTGGAATCTTCCAGATCCTATCCCAAACCATCCATGGGAAGTTCGGTCCATAGTAACCATCCAATTTGGGATCATTTGCATGGGGTAAATGTAACTATTCCAGTCCCATAGATGGTCAGGGTGTGTAAAGCGGAATTCGGGCACAACGGGAAATCCCCAATTCGGTAGGTCCACGGTTGGTCAAGAGATTGAGGATTCATTCGGTCAAAACCATCTGGTGGATGCAAACCATCGCTGGCCCACCCTCCGATATAGTACTTGGTTCACTCGAAACCGGAAGTCACTCGAGGTTCACCGACCTCCGACCAACGCGAACTGAGAACGTCGAACTGAGTCGCCAGAGCTGTAAAACCAGCGGTAGAACTTCCCGTGACCCTGGAGCGCGAGTGCGACTGAGGCTGAAAGAGAAATCAAGCAAGCGTCTCATCCGGCATTGACAGGCTACTCTTCACCGAGCCGGGTAATGTAAGCAAAAGGATGACATGTTGCCTCAACATCACTGAATTTCCTGCCCTGCTTAGTTCATCTTGGGATTCTTTGCACCACACATGCACAGCCCACACAAAGAAGATCACGTCGCCAGGCCGTGTGACGATCACGTCGCCAGGTCCGCGGCCGCCGCCTCCAAGTGGTTGCAAAGCATGCTGATGCCGATAAAGGCGCAATAATAACCTGAGGGGATTCGGAGAGAGGGCCGGGGTTTGCATTTGGAATGTCATTTGACACTGTAGTTAGAGACTGTAGTGCTCAAAGATGGTGCCAATGGTTTGTGGAACTTATCCTCAAAGAAAACCAAAGAAGCAAGCAAACCATCTGAGACCATTTCGAGAAAGTGACTAATAAGCCAATAAATTTCAACAAAAGTAATTCAAGGACAGAGATGTTTCACTTCTTAAGCCTACAGTCACGCCAGTAGCGTACTCACCCCAGGAAATACCAAGAACACAAACGCAAACCTCGCCCAACAATTCCAACAAGTGTTGACCGCTCCACTGCGCTCCCCCACGTTGGAAACAGCGGGAGGTATTGGCACCGCTCGCCGCTGGATCTTCGTTCCTGAAGAAGATTGGACTCTGGGGCCATCCAGACAGCTTTCAGGGGAGAGGGAGGGTGTGCGTGCGAAAAAGCTGGGCCAAATCAAGGTCATCCAATGGCGAAAGGTGGCGAAGGAGGGTGTGTGCGCGTGTGCGGTGAAGGAGCCACGCTTCCTCCCCACATCCCTGGACCACTTAGGAGTGACAATTTGTCCAGAAAAACTCCCAACGGAGATGAAGAAGGGAGCGTCCAATTGCAGCCTCAGTGAGCGCTCCAGTGCTGGAGCCCATTCCGGTGCATTGTTGCAACACCCGTTGTATGTATCGATCAGTATCAGTAGCTGCGCATTGAAGTGATATGACATGGATTATCATGGAACTGATTTGTCTGCAATCGTATGCAATCGTACACAAGGAAGGAACACCGTGACTTATCATCCTTTCTTTCCATGTCATAGCCTTCTTCTTTCCTCACGATGCTCTGCACAAACTGCCCCCTGCCTGCCCCCATCCGTCTGCCGTCAAGCGTCACTGCAAGGTGTGCACAAAGCAAGGTGATGAGGACCGACCAAAGAAGTGGTTGTCCTACCTTGGAATGAACATAGACCGATAGAACCCCCAGGTGGATAGAAGTTCGTAGATCTTCCGTAAAAATCTATTGGAAACCGTGTATCTATTTGGGGCCAACTATATACTAAGGTTCTGGGCCCTTTACCGATGGTTCCAGGCTTTGATTCGGGTTCCTGAGACCGGAAGGGATAGGGAAACCAGGTTTCTTCGATAGGCTGGAGCCTCCTAGAAGCTGCACGTCGACGAAAGCTGGGGTGGCAAGCTGGCGCCTGAGTTCCGTCCCGGCTCCGACCGGTCCAGAACTCTGCAGCTCCGACCGGTCCAGGCCGTGACTCGGTCCGAACGAAGCACCGCGGCCGAGAGGCATTGCGGCCCTTGTGGAGCTGTTCGCTGAGATCGCACTCTGCTTTCATCGCCCAACCGATGCTCCCCGAACTCGTCGGGGCGACGGGCCGCGACGAGACCAACAGGCGGCCCGTGAACGGAAGGGACGTGAAGTGGTCCGTGGCATGTGCTGTGGCATGTGGCATGTGAAGTCTTCCCACCGTTTTTAAGGCAACGTTCGAGGCACTTCCTTCAACCCAACATGGCGTAATTCCGCTATTCAGCTTCTGTTTCAGCTCGTGTCATGCGTTGCTGAGATGCGTACTCATGCTCTGCAAGGCGGAACTCGCTCAAACCAATGCTTGAGCTTCCCTACAAGCTGCGGAAGTGGTGCAAGATCATGCGGTTGACCATGTTTAACCGTCTCATAACAGCTATGCCAGCTGCCAGCCCCCGAATCCAGCGTAATCTCAAGAACCAATCAGACTGAATCAGACTCTACATGGCCATCATCATCATGGATCCATATGAGCTCAAGTAGAAAGGGTCAACAACACTTTCAAGATTTGTCAACATCTCTTACAACACAGATTCACAGATTCATTCCAAAACGCTTTGCACAGTCTGCAGAAAGGTATGGTCAATATCGAGACCACAAAACATTTCTTGAATCCTATACAGTCCACGTTGGGGTGCACCAAGAAATAATGCACTAGACTGTACGCTGAGCTACTCAGAAGCAACAAACCCAAAAACGTGTGTTCAATTCGTAAGTCGCCGTGTCCTCATTCCATCTCATTCTATAGTTCTTGCTCTTGAAGCCAGTGATCTTCACCCAATCCTCGTGACATGGCATGTTCTGCCCCTCTCCCCTTCTCCGCACGGCAGAGTCTGGGCTTGTCCGGCAGGGTCTGGATCTCAGCACAGGTGGAGATCGCGGAAGAGATCCAGTCCTGTCGTGCGCTCGACCCGAGAACGGCGAGCCTCTGGAATCCAAGAACGGGATCTGTTGTAACAAAGGCGGCGTCTATTGGGGGATCCACATCATGTGACCCTGTGATATCAGTCAGACTCAGAGCATGTAGTTTGAGAGTGCACCAAACATTTCCCCGGTTGTTTTTGAGGTGGCTTCAAGCAATCCTCTGGTCCGGCAACCACCATGATGCCGAAGCTTGAGAACAAAATGCTTCACTTCAGATTCAGAGATCCATCTCCAAGCCTGTAGGCCCTCAGCTGTCAGATTGTGGAGGTGAAAAATGGTGTAAAAAACAGTGAAAACAAGCATATGGACATTTATGGACAAACTCAGACTGTTCTCAAGCACTATAGCACTACACTCATCTACTCTAGTCCTGTAGCTTCCACACCCAGTTCTTGACGATGGGTCACATGTTGGTTTCCTTGGCTGCATCACATCTTCTGACTGTTTCAGGACATCATCGCACCTCTGCCACGGTGGCATGCTGTGGAAACCTCCTGGAGAAGGGGATCCTTGGCGGAGTTGGCCATTCTCGAGGTTCACGGAGTTCGCCCGGGGGAGTGTGGGCGACAAAAACAATCCAAGCGTCTCCTGAGTGTTTCTACCCATAGAATCCTTGGGCTCTCCATGGCAGGGGCAGGGGTCCGGGCCCTCAAAACCCTTTCTGTTTGAGGGCCCGGATTCTTAGGGTAGTAGAAAACATACTTGGATTCCATCATGAGTGCACCTCAAACTCTCGTACAGGCACCTGTTCTTGTTGTCTCAAAACTCTGGACTTGTTGGTGGCAAGCTGGAAACATGAGGTCCGTGTGTTGAGCGTGGTGTGCTTCTCACAGCGAACCCCCCTCCGCATGTCCATGCCGGCCGGCCCAAGCCGATACAGACTGGTACCGGCTAAAGACCCTGGTTCTTTATATCTCGACTGGGATGCCAACTGGTTACCAACAACATCCAACAACTATGAGCACCTATAGGTAATGTAGACTGTAGACTCTTGATGAAAAACAAACATCATTGATTGCACAACCTCTTCATATATGGAGGTTTCTATCAATCAAGAGTCTGTGTTGATACCTCCAGCCAGTAGTTTCTGCAACATGTGCACTTCACCTGCCGAGCTGCTCTGGTGTGGTGTGATCCAACTTCCACAAATGGAATTCATACCTGTACCGCGCAATGGTGTCATGGATGGTGCGATCGCGTCGCGTTTTTTCTGTGCGAAAGTCCGGGGGCATGATGTTCATGCTCACTTAGCGCTTGCGACTGTAGTTCGGCGACCGTAGTTCGCTGTCTCTCACCAACCACCTGCCGTTTGCTCAATTAGTCATGACCAATCACCAAGCTGGATTTGAAAGGGGAATCCTTGCTTGGCGCAAATGCAAGAAGCTCGTTTGGTGATATCAATTCAAACGCAATGCCATCTACATGTCCGCTTTAGTCACAACTTGGTGTGATCCACTCAGAGAACAGCAAGAGTCAACCCACACATGTATATATACACAACACGTGTGTGCCGTCGTCCCGCGTCACAAAATGTTGCTTCAAAAGCACCCAACCGTCCACAAAACCCAACAAATCATGTCTCCACCTGACTCTGCGCCAGTTCCACATAAGATCAGGCCCAGCGGAGCGCCAAGCTGAGCGAGACGTTCCATTGATCTGCGGTCCGATCTTCCGAATGAGCAGCTGCAAACCCGAACGGCCACCACGGCCACGTGTTTCAACTCAAGTGATCGTCCGGACGTGGTGTCCAAACATCCGCGGAGGAAAATCCACCGTGGCAGTGAGTAATCAGAAAACACCAAGAGATATTTTCAGAAACACCAGGAACTGTACTCCAAATCTGGAGTCATAGCAGTTCCATGCGGTGTTGCCCCCTGTGACATCCGTAGCTTAGGGTCCAAACACCACAGCAACTTAGGAAATCCTGAGAGATCTTCCACCCTTCACCGGCTCGGGCCGTGAAACCCTGAAGCGGTGGACGTCCACAGGCGTCCGACGTCCGCGCCTGAGCCCGGCGAAGCGGTAGCGGTCCCTTTGCTGGGCCTTTTCCACCAACGCCTGAGGCGGATGGGTTTGAGTGTGAAGAACGGGTCGTGTCCATGTGGTGGAACTTGCAGAGACCAGGATTTGGGAGACCTGAACTGGGACCTGAACTTTCTACATAGATAAGGGAGTAGATAAGGGAACAAATTCACTGGGGAAAAAGGGCTGTTCCAACCTCTCTAGCTTGCTGGTAACCAAATACAATAAGACATTACAGCGGCAGTGGGTGGACAGCTGTGCATACATGTCTGTCCATGGTGGCGGATCATTGCGCATGGAAGGAAAGTTGGAGAAAACTTCAACCTTGCTCATGAACCCCACCGGCAATATTTGTTTGATGTTTCCTTCATTGTGGTACCGGAAACTGTCCCCCATGACGAAAATGAGTTGAAGATTGAAGAAAGACATATCCTTGGACAATTGTGACTTGCAATCCAATGGATCTTCACCATCTACTTTACGCAGCACTCCTCGAACTGCTGAAATCCCCCCTTTGTCACACATCCATGTGCCGTATCTTGACTCCCTAGCCTCAGAGTGAAGAGTGCCCAAACGCGAGTGCCAAGCAGTCTGTCACTCATGTGCCGTCCCTCCTGTTCTTCCACCGCTTTCTAAGGCACAAACCCAAAGCAAGCAGGAATTCACCTCCACCTGGCACGAGGCACCACACATGCGAGTCGCAGGTGACCACCAAAAACATGGGTTACTGTGAACCAGGAAAGTCCTAGCAGCCCTAGCAACACATCCGGGGACCAGCAAAGCCCCATGGCACAGACCGCCACGACCGGTAGCCCGGCAAAGTCCTTGCAATCAAGATTTCCCAATGGCACAGCGTGCTTGATGCCCATAGTATGTGGTTTTGGTGGGACTTCGCATGGCACAGCGCCAAGGAACATGGCGTTGTCATGCTTTGTCACGGACGTGTTTTTGATGGAAACACCGTGGTTTGCATGGAAGGGAGAATCCACACGTTGAGTTGGCATAACACATCCAAGAGTATATAAATTATAGATGCTATATTGAAGAACATCCTCAAATATCATGCTACTGACTCCACAATTATTGCCTTATTATGCATTTCACATTCCATGTTTGATCTACTCACCACAATGACTCCCCATAACTTGCTAAAGCAGCTTCAGATCGAATCAAGGTTCCACATCAAAAGTCCACCAACAAGTTCCTACCAGTACAAACTACAAATACTCCTGAGAAGTATGTATACCCACACCTGATGTTCTGCCCAAACTTCGATGTTCACGAGGCACCCACGACACCCACGGCCTCAGGGAACACTTCTTGGAACTCTGGCAGCTCCAAAACCTGCCACGGTTCGTCGACAGGAACCCGCTCGACACGGGCACCGAGGCGACAGGAACGCGTCACTGCGGCACCGGTGCCACTCCAAATGGTGAAGTCGACAGGGGGGGGATGGTGAAGTCCCTGCAATCATCCACTGATTCCAACACCCAGACACTCCATGGGACTGCCATATATGCCTACATTGACCCCCCCCTGGCACCACCCCAACTGATTGGCATATACGGCAATCCCAATAGTCGTGTCTGGGACATATTCCATCATATTCCAACTGGAATGGCGGCCTTTCGCTTTACAGAGTTACCGGATGTCACGATGTCACGGCGGCGCAGGAGGTCGGTGTTTCACCCACTGTGTATTTCTTTTTGGTGTGGTTTGTCAAAGGAAGTTTAGAAGGTAACTTCCGTGTTACGGACATTCAACAGCTGTTCAACCACCACTCATCATACACCACTCATCAGATTTCGTGGCAGGTGCAGCAATTTGTGAACCTCCATGTGCAGATTTCGTGGCAGGTGCAATACAAAATGCGTTTTCGAGAGATAGCGGACATGCTGTATTTTTCAATAGAACCGGTGGCTTCGAACCTGGCAAGTCTAGCTCTGCGGAACGACTGTTGCGAGACGGTCTCGGGTTATGCTCGGTCGGCCGTCCATTGTGATTAGGTTTTCACTTGTCTCTTGAAGTGCAGATTTCGTGGCAGGCGCAGCACTTTGTGAACCTCCATGTGCAGATTTCGTGGCAGGCGCAGCACTTTGTGAACCTCCATGTGCAGATTTCGTGGCAGGCACAGCACTTTGTGAACCTCCATGTGCAGATTTCGCGGCAGGCACAGCACTTTGTGAACCTCCAGGTGCAGAT